ACAGGGTCTTGCAGGCCAGGGAACAGAGTGAGCACCCAGTTTAGGGACCCGCAAACCACTCTCACTGATGCTATAGTTATCGCCAGGCCACCCCATTTATCCATCCAGCCGAACGACTCCTGAGTGCCCCTCCAGGCAGGCCCTGGGCTGGACGATGCGGGACCAGGGAGGGTGAATCAAGGGGCCCTTCGCAACCCTCCCCTATCCTCCCTCCCTTGCTGAGACAGCTCCTCGGGCACCAACACGCGTTCACTGAGCAACTTCGGGAACCGGGTCCAGGCTCTGTTCTCCGAAGCTCGGAACCACGCGGCGGCCCGGCGGCCTCCAGCAGGCCTCGCCCTGCTCAGTGCACGGCCCCTCCCCACGCGCAGACCCAGCTCCCAGGAGCCCCTCCCCCGCCCCGCCCCCGAACTCGCCCGGGGACCCTGGGGGCCCCTGCCTTCCGGGGGCTTCCGGGAGGAGGGGCACAGGGCGCGGGGACACGTCCCGCCCAAGGCGCGGCCCGGCGCGGCCCCACGCGTCTCGACCCCGCCGCCGCGGGAGGAAGTGCCGGGACGCGGCTGCGGGGAAACCCCGTCCCCCACGGTGACCCCGAATGCTTGTAACACTACACAACGCGATTGAGATCTTTTGTCAGCGGACCGCCGAGGGGGCCAGCCCAGTCTCAGACACTGCCGGTGACGGGACCCGGGAGCGCCAGCGGCTCGTTCACAGACGCCATGGTTGGTGTAAAACACAGCAATCAAAACCGCAAGACTGCGCTTGCGCGCTGGAGGCTTCTTGATTGACACGCGCGCAGGACTCAGAGCAGCCAATCCTCGCGGCCGCAGCAGGACCTCCCTCAAGGGCGGGAAAAATCCGGTCCCGCCCCTTGACTGACAGGCGCGGCTTCGCCTCCTGACAGTCGATTGGCGAGACCGCGTCGGTCGCAACGCTGGCTGGCAGCTCGTGTACCAACAAAGCTCTGCGGACTGGTACTTCGGCCTCCACCGCATCTCACCTCCTGAGGGACCCAAAACGGCGTCTGCCAGGGTGGGCGGCGTGGGAGGAGGGCCGGGGAGACTGACAGGCGCACCGGGGCCCTTTGCCGGGCAGTGTGAAACTCCCACAAACCCTCAGCCAGAGCTTAAAACGCCGGCCTGGGAGACCCCAGACCCCCGCAGCCTGAGAAGCTCCAAATTCTCTCAACCTCAAGAGATCCCAGATCCTTCCACCTTGAGGGACCGTAAATCCCCTCAGCATGAGACCCCCCAGGAACGCCAAATCCCCTAAAGCTTAGATCGCCAAATACCCTGACACTGAGAACCACAGTTCCTCTCAGCCTAAGGCACCCAAACCGCTGAGCCTGAGAGACTTTAAATACCGCACCCACAGCGAGACCAAATTCCCCAACCTCAGAGACCCTAAGTATTCTCAGCCTGGAAACTCGTAATGCCTTCAGCCTCAAAGCCTCCAAATAACCTCAGTGCCGGAGAAACGAACGCCCATTAAAGAGACTCCAAGTCTCCTCAACCTGAGAGATCACAAATTTCCTCAGCCTTAAAGACCCCAAACCCCCTTAGCCTGATGAATCTCAAATCCCCTCCACTTGAGCCTGAAAGCTCCCCATATCTTGTCCTGAGAAACCCCAAATACTATCAGCCTGAGAGCCCAAATCCCCTGAACCTGGGAAGCCCCAATTTCCTCATCCTGAAACATCTCAAATTCCCTTAGCCTGACCGACCCCAAATCTCTTCAGCCTGAGAGATACCTGCCCCTGAGAGATCCAGACTGCTTTACTCCCAGATTTTTCCAGAACACCCAGTTGGAGATTCCCCAAATACTTTCTATGAGAAATGTTCATTTTCTCCATTGGAACAGAGCCAAATCTCAGCGGTTAGGGGTCCTCATCAGTCTGACCCGAATCCCAGCAGTCGGGGTCCTCAAGGTCTCCTTGGGACTCCTCTGGCCCTCACACCTCAGGACTTCCCTCGGACATCCTTAGCCACAACCCTCCAGATACCTTTGCCATCTTTCCTCAGATGAGCCAAGCTGCAGGGTAATTAAAGAGAAAATCCAGCTCACAGTAGTTGGTCTGTCATGACTGGTAGAGACCATCCCATCCCATCAATACCTCCCAGACCTGCTAGGCATCCTCTAGACTTTGCCAGGGTCCCACATCTTCCTGTTCTGGAGACCCCAGCCCAACAGAGAAGACAGTCTGGTTCTGGGCAATGGTTTGGGCTGTCACCCCCAAGGCTGTCAGCACCTTCTCCTTCCACAGAAGCCTTGGCGTAGGAGCTGGGAGACTCAAAGACCCTTCCCAAACTCAGAGTTGGACCAGAACCTGCCCAGCAGTCCAGCATCATGAGCCCTAACAAGTCCCAGGAGGAAAGCCCAGAGGTAGACGCAGGGAGAACAGGGTGGAAGCCCACAGTGAGAAGTACGGGCAGGGGTGGCGGGGGCGGGAGGGATGAAATCCAACTTCAAGCAGAGTCTGTAGGAAGGATGGGAAGGGGACCTGGTGACAAGGAGCTGGTCTCTGGAAGTCTGCAGACTCCTGGTCTGCAACCCTGGGCAACCCTGTCGGAATGTGCATGGAATGAGGGTAGTGGGTTCTGTCCAGGATGTGGGAGGGAAAAGGACACAGCATCAGCAACTGCTGTCTGTCGGAGAACTAGGAAAATGTTCAGTGTTTGCTCAGTTAAATAGGACACAATCTGGGGAGAGAGGGAAAGTCTTTACCCTTATTTCACAGGGGCCCCAAACTATACCCTACACACAGGTGGAGGAAAAGGCTCAGCTTGATGTGTGCTAGTAAACCACTGATGGAATCTGTTACTTTCTCTAGGACAAAGATGCTTTCAAAGACATTTCCATATACTTCTCCAAGGAAGAATGGGCACAGATGGGAGACTGGGAGAAAATCCGCTATAGGAATGTGAAAAGGAACTATAATGTGCTGATTACGATAGGTAACAGGAAGTGCTGGGTGCAGACCAAGCTGGGAAACATAAAACAAATTTTCAGTCCCTATATTATTTTAGCTTTCTCTTAGGTGGCAGCATCTGCCCACAGTTCCCTTCTGTATGGAGACAAATCTGGTGGGAAATTTTCATTTGTGTCAGTATAAGGCTGAGTGCCAATATTGGCCACAGAGAGGGCACAGTTCGACCTTGTATGAGATTCTCCCAGCTCTACAGACTGAGCCACACTAGTTTTGAGTTGCTTTGCACTACTACTGTCCTTAGTTCCTCCTCTCAGCTGTTCCCTTTTAGGACAAAGATTTTGCTTCTCTTCAGGTCTCAGAGCACCTCGTCCAGCTTTCATGTGTCACCGAAGGCAGGCCATCAAACACCAGGTGGATGACACTGAGGATTCTGATGAAGAATGGACACCTAGGCAACAAGGTGAGAAGCCAGAAGGATTTTAGAGGTGACCTCATGAAACCAGCCTGGGTTTAGGTCTCAGCTACATCTCAGGAGTTAACAAAGGAAACAGTATTCCCTCAAAAACTGAAATGTTCAACAAACTAGCAAGATGCAAAACAGTATACACAATAAGAGGCTATTCATACAAAGTTTTTAAATGTGTAAAACAATTAAATATTATTTAAAAATACAATAAGTAGTAAATATATACAATCATAATGTGAATAAGAATATCAAATTCAGAACAGTTATCATCACAACAGAAGGAGGAAGAGCTAGCAGGTGGCTTCACTGTGGCTTGGTTGACTTTTTGTATGTTTTAATTTTTGTTTTTGAATTTTGAAATTAAAAAAAAGATTTGAAGCAGTTATAGCAAAATGTTGAGATTGGACTGAACGAAGATGGATATATAGGTTTTCCAGTATCATTCTCCACATTTTCCTATGTTTAAAATTTAGGCCAGGCGCAGTGGTTCATGCCTGTAATTCCAGAATTTTGTGAGGCAAAGATGGGAGGATCACTTGAGGCCAGGAGTTCAAGACCAGCCTGGGCTGTTGTGAGACCTTGTCTCTACAAAAAATAAGAAAAATCAGCCAGGTTGTTGTGGTGTGCACCTGTAGTACCAGCTACTCAGAAGACTGACACAGGAGGATTGCTTGAGCCCAGGAACTCCAGGCTGCAGTGAACTATGACCCAGTCACTGCACTCCAGCCTGGACAACAGACTGAGACCCTGTCTCTAAAAAAAATTAAATAAATAAATAAAATTTGTCGTTCTTTTTTTAAACAAAGACTATTTTTCCTAAACATTGTTAATTAGTCAAAGGACAATTAATGCAACTTTAAGCTGTAAATCTACTAAATCTCATAATCTAGCTATCAAATGTCTTAGAAGAGGAAATAATTAACTATTAGGTTACATAATTTATTTATGTATATTTAATCATACTACATGATCCTCATACCCCCAAATGAATCTGATTCTTTGTCCTGATTCTGGGGGAAGGTTTGAGAGAACTATTTAGTGTCCCTGATCTTTCCCACATGTCACAGACCAGAGACAGCATTATGCAAATAAAATGATGTGCAATGATTATAAAACAGAAGTGAGAAGTTCATTTCCTCTTCTACAGCTTGGACAGGAAAGTTTAAAAGAGGGAGGATTTGCAGCTTAATAAAGGTTTCATTAATTATCAATTTATTTTTAAAATAAATAAATATCTTATGAACATAGGATGAAGCAGAGATGAAGTTTTTTTTTGTTTTGTTTTGTTTTTTTTTTGAGACAGAGTCTCACTTTGTTGCCCAGGCTAGAGTGAGTGCCATGGCATCAGCCTAGCTCACAGCAACCTCAAATTTCTGGGTTCAAGCGATCCTCCTGCCTCAGCCTCCCGAGTAGCTGGGACTACAGGCATGCGCCACCATGCCCAGCTAATTTTTTATATATATATTAGTTGGCCAATTAATTTATTTGTATTTGTAGTAGAGACGGGGTCTCGCTCTTGCTCAGGCTGGTTTCGAAGTCCTGAGCTCGAGCAATCCACCCGCCTCGGCCTCCCAGAGTGTTAGGATTACAGGCATGAGCCACCGCATCCGGCCTACTTTCACAGTTTTGTAAAGTTTATTCTGTTTTATTCATACATCATTCATCTGACTGATTTTTCAATCTCAGTTTTTCTCCATTATGGTAAAAGGAGAGATGCACTAAGAGACTGCAAGGGAGGCTACAAATACACAGTTTGTACGGTGGATGGTCCGTGATGAGAAGGAGATAGGGTCGCTACCCTTGTAAGGGACTCATTCTGATAAGAGAAACTGACTTCCACCCCTGAGGAGCTTCAGGTGTGAAGACTGACAAACAACAAATAAGAAAATAACTTAGGACTTCATATAGGGAACACACAATTCAGTAGAAATGTATCCTGTAACTGATTCCAAATGCTTATTCCTATAGGAGGAAGTAATGGCTCCGGGCTTTATTTAGGTCACTCTTATGCTATTTGGAATCATTTGTTTGACCTGCTGCCTTCACACTGTGAGCTCTTTGAGAGCCCCTTGAGTATTTTCTTGATGAGTGATTACAAATTTACAAATTAAATGAGTAACAGGGTCAAGGAATCCTGAAGATAAAATTTTGAGTTAGATTTCAACTGTAGAGAAGACTGAGGAGAGAAATTGGTACCAGGACTGTGAAGGAAATTATTATTCTCACATTCATACTGTTCAATAGCTCACAAAACACTTTGGCAAACATTATTATGTTTGATATTCACTATAACATTAAAAATTAGCATGTATGCCAATTTATGGATCAGAAAACTGAAGAGAATTAGCTAATGACATGCTCTTTTTCAATCACAATTGGTACAAAACTCAACTGATCTAACTGCAAAGTCAAATATTCTTTCCAGGACATGGAATTTTGCAACTTGTAGCATCACTCTCTTAGTTGTCTAGATACATTTTGCCAACTATTTGTCTCTTCCCAACCTCATCATTCCAGATGTGTTTCGGCCTCCATCAAGTGTCCACCAGCATAGAGAAGACCCTCTTTTTTCTCTGTAAGCCCTTACCCATTCTTCCACAGACCTTGTCAATTCTCCAGCTGGTCTTCCCAAGTTTCCTCCCCTGTTTGCCTTCACTTATATGGAAAAATATGAGAGAAATTTGAAGGGAAAGGGCCTTAAGACATGGGTTCTAGGCCTGGACTCACTACCCACTTAGGCCCTCCCTTTTTCCTCTAGTATTCAGACACCCCAGGTATTTCTAAGGGTTGTTGAAGCATTAACTAAAGTCATGCATATGAAAACACACACTGCAAGCCCTAAAGAACTAAAGAAACATGCTGTCTTTTAATATATGACTCTCACATTAAAGGGAATGCCCAGGGCGCCATTAAGTGATGGATCTAGTTTGAAGGAATTGTCAGGAACAGCAAATTTACTGAACACAAGTGGCTCAGAGCAGCCCCAGAAACCAGTGTCCCCTCCCAGAGAAGCAAGTACCTCTGGACAGCACTCTAGACGAAAATTAGGTAAGAGATAATAATTTCGGGACTTTAGTCTGTCTAGGTGCTCTAGAAAGTTTGAGGAGTATGGTTTAGATATGTGGGGTGGACTTTGGATAGGCCTGGGCTTAAGCTGAACTAAGCTGGGAGACCAGAAGTTGGACGCAGTACTGAACAGCATATAGGAACATTAACTTTGAAATCACACACTTGGGTTATAGTCTACACAGAAGCATTGGGGCCTTGGGCAAATCTCATAAATTTTCTGACCTCCTGAATGCTAATCTGTAAAATGAAGATAATGATACATAAGCTCATATAGTGTTTGAAAGCACTAAATTAAATATAAAAGAATTGAAACATGCAAGGTATCCAACAAATCCATCTCTGATAATAAAGACCATGCCTCCTTAGCGCCCAGGCCTTTGATTGATGCCTACCATGTCATATGCCCTCAACAAATATTTTCTGAATGAATAAATGCATGAATGAACTGTTTCATAAGTGGAAAGGTTGGGAGGTTAATGGGATAATGGGAAAAGCCAGAAACTAAAATTGAATTAGGCATCTGTAGTCAGTGTGGGTGTGGAGTCTCAGTCTCTCTGAACTAGTAGTTGGGGCGCGGGGGTGGGACCAGAGCATATAGAACAGATGATAATCTGACGGCAGGGGAGTTCACATCTTCTCATGAAACAGGGATAAACACCCCAGACTCCCAACTTCATTCACCTACTTTTCTCCAACTTAGAACTCAGGAGAAAGGAAATTCAAGTAAGGATGTACAGCCTGCGAGAGAGAAAGGGCCATGCATACAAAGAGGTCAGCGAGCCTCAGGATGACGACTACCTTTGTAAGTGACCCTTCAGCCCATTCACACAGAAGGCTGTTATGTCCTGATACAATAATTTCAGCTCATCATTTGACCCCCAAATCATTCCTTTACTCTAGTGAGTTGGAGTATAGGACTGAGGCTAAATGATGTGAGTGCTGGACTCTTTCTGAAGCTTTTTATGTCAAGAACATGCACTATACTTTTCCTAATTCCTGCTGCTCTCGCCTCTAGATTGTGAGAAGTGTCAGAACTTCTTCATAGACAGCTGTGCTGCTCATGGGCCCCCTACATTTGTAAAGGACAGTGCAGTGGACAAGGGGCATCCCAACCGCTCAGCCCTCAGCCTGCCCCCTGGGCTGAAAATCAGACCATCAGGCATCCCTCAGGCTGGGCTTGGAGTATGGAATGAGGCATCTGAACTGCCACTAGGTCTGCACTTCGGCCCGTATGAGGGCCAGGTCACAGAAGACGAAGAGGCAGCCAACAGTGGATACTCCTGGCTGGTGAGAAGTGCCTACCTTTTCCCCTGTTCTGGCTGCCCACATCCCTTCTGTGCCTTTGGTGGGAAACCACCTTCTACCTGGAAGGACGTGGACAGAAATAACACGGTTAGCTCTGTGTACTCAGTGGTCTTTGCATGAACATGGAACTCCTGTTTAAAGGTCACAGGGTAAGTGGGAGCACAGTAGTACAAATACAAAGAGGTGCATCCTCCCTTGTGGGCCCCCCACTCTGACGAGATGGATCAACTCAGAGATGTGTAGATGATGGCTGAGGAGGGTGCCACATGGTCTCCACTGGCAGTAGAATCCATGCAGGCTCCAAAGGCACTGATGACAGTAGAGTCAAATAAGTCTTTTGATTATTACCCCTAAATAGCCTTTAACTTATTTTTCTGAAACTCAGATAACCAAGGGGAGAAACTGCTATGAGTATGTAGATGGAAAGGACGACTCTTGGGCCAACTGGATGAGGTGAGGCCAATAGTTCTCTGGGTCCGAGCTGTCTTTTACAACCCAGATTCTTTTCTTCCCATCACATCTCCTTAAGTGGCCTTTATATCGTCTGCTCCTATTTTTCTCCATACAATGCTCTTTCATATCATGAACATTTAGAAAAAAAGAGATAAAAATGTAAGTATTATAATTTATTTTTCATCTAAACATAAATCTCTATGCTAGACAAAACTGAGGCACCAGGATAAACCTTGAGGAGCCTAGATTCATTGGGGATGCTGAATTCACATTTTAATTTATCTAATCCACATTTATTAAGCACTTACTGTGTTCCAGCTTAGAAAATAAACTTCATTACTTGAACAGATCATACAACCCATGTACTTTTGGAGGATGTATTGCAGACAGACATGAAACATTTAATTATAGGAATATTTAACTATAATTTTCCTATTTCTCAAGAAGCACACAGAGCCAAGACAGCCTAAAACAAAGGACCTTTAATCTGTGAGGGCAGGAAATTAAACCTGGGTCCTAAAGCCAGAGGAGAAGGGAGCTACAGAGTTGCTGCTCAAACTCTATCAGCTGATACAGAACAGGCATCAACAATTACTGTTCTGCGGTATTCTGCTAAGGCAAAGAGACCTCTAAGTTTCCATGGAAACCTGAGTAAACTGAGGAGACTGGAGGAAGGCTGCTCAAAACAAGGTGGACTTGGGCTGAGTATAGAAAGATGTGTGCTAATCTAGAAGTAGAGTACATGATCGAGCACCAAGTCCTGTGGTATAAATAGTTCAGAGTTTGGAGAAGCTAGAGGTCACTGTGTTTTATGGCCAATGGAGGTCAGTACGGAATTGGGCTTTGAAAGGTACTTAATTAGGCAAGAGGGAGGAAGCATTCTAGGCAGGATGAGCACCGTAAGCAGGACCTGGAGACAGGAATTCATAGAACACCGTGAAAGAGACTCAGGTGTGGGCAGGAGGTCTGAGGAGCAGTGGGGAGTGGGCAGCATCAGAGCACGGAGGCCTTGACCACCGGGGGACAAGCCAGACGTGAATCTGACGGGTGGTGGAAACTCACGGCCTGTTTTCTCTCCCTCTGCCTGCTCAACCCCAGGTATGTGAACTGTGCCCGGGATGAGGAGGAGCAGAACCTGGTGGCCTTCCAATACCACAGGCAGATCTTCTATCGGACCTGCCAGGTCATCAGGCCAGGCTGTGAACTGCTGGTCTGGTACGGGGATGAGTATGGCCAGGAGCTGGGCATCAAGTGGGGCAGCAAGTGGAAGGAAGAGCTCACCATAAGGCAAGGTGGGTGCCACAGTGACTCTCTAGGGAGGAAAGGGAAGGAAGGGTTCTCCTTGGGAATTCTCATGGCTCAGCTCTGATTGTTATTATACTGTATTTTTATTTCTAATTTTTTTAGAGACATGGTCTCACTCTGTTCCCCAGGCTGGAGTGCAGTGGTGCAGCCACAGCTCACTACAGCCTCAAATTCCTGGCCTCAAGCAATCCTCCTGCCTCGGCCTCCCAAAGTGCTGGGAGTACAGGTGTGTGCCACCACACCTGGCCTGGTTCAACTCTTAAGTAGAGTAAAATACAGTCAAAAGTCAGTGAAATTTCCAAGCAGGTGCTTCTGAAATTAAAGATTCATGTCATATGCCCTTGACTCTTAGGAACAATTTTTATATTTTAAAATTTTTGCCGGATTTCATATTCTAAGTACTTCGGGCAAAATTTATAATAGCCTATCGTGCTGAAAGATTGGAAGGCAAAAAAAAAGTTCTCTCACCTACCAGCTCTCTCAACAAGGTAGTTTCTTGTTGTACTTTCAGTTCTTTCTTTTTAATTTCTTCCATATTTCTAAACAATGTGCATATGTTGTTATTCATTCACTCATTATCTCAATTAGTTTTCATATGAATTCTTATGCTATGCCAGACAATGTTCCAGGAGATGAAAACATAGCTTGAACAAGAGAATCACAATACCTGCTCTTAGGCAGCTGACTCGTGAATGAGGCAAACAAGCACACACATCAGTGATCAGTGCTTTGGAAAAAACTAATCCAGGAACAGTGCCTAGGAATCGGTGTGAGGAGAGGGTGGGGTGCAGCAGGGGATGGTGAGGGAAGGTTTCTCTCAGGAGGTGGCATTTGAGAAGTGCAAGTAGCAGTGGGCAAAGGATTCCGGGCAGAGGGAGGAGCTGATGCAATGGCCCTAAGGCAGAAACAAGTCTGGGCCTGACCACTCAGGTGAAGGAAGCAGAAAGGGTAAGAACCAAGGTCAGAGAGACACAGCGAAGCCTAGAAACACAGCACCTGTGATTCACGCCAAGACACTGGGGATTTTCCGCAGTGAGATGGAGACAACAGTGGAGTTTTCAGTTATCTGCTCTATGATGATGCTTTGGTTAATTTTCGAAAAACAGACCACAGTGGATAATCCCTTCTGAGACTTTTTGGGTCTCCAGGTGGGTGGGATTAAGGTGGGGGTCTGGGAGGTAAGAAGTCTGATTAAGGATATGTTTTGAAACAGGACTTCCTATTTTGTTTGAAAATGGCTAAGAATGAATAAAATAAGGCAAGCATGAATACTTGGCGTGTGGCCTGAGTAAAGACATATTTTCATTTTGTGATTTGTGGGAATCCATGACCTACTTGGGGCAGCAGGACCCAGAGTCCTTTAGTCAACGGGACCTGGATGACTCTGTGTTGTCCAGCCTGAATCCCACTGCTTGACGGAGAGCCAGGCATGTAAGAGTCCTCAAACAAATAAATCTTTTTGAATGGGAGACTCAAATTCAAACTTACTCACACAAGCTCTCTTTAACCACGACCCTACACTGCCTTCCACATTCATGAGTATGCAGGCTGAGTGGTTCCTAACTTAAGAGATCCCTTTCCCTCATAGGAAAAGTCACTGAAGATAATCCCATGTAAGCCATCAAGAGTGCTATTTCTCGGTAGAATAAAATAGCTGCAGACACTGTATCAGGAGAAGGGCCTAGGATCAGTGTGAAGGAAGGGAGGGTGTGGCAAAGGGGTCAGCGGAGAGGTGTGACATGACTTGGGAGATACCTGCACTATGTGGGGAAAGGTCGCTGCAATTCCAGCTGTGTAAGAAGTGAAGCTGCCACCGGTGCTGCTTGAGGGTCCCTAGTCTGGCTGATAGGTAGAGAAGACAAATGATGTAGGCTTTCTGGGTTTTTTAAGAATATGTAGTGAATAAGAATGGAATGGAAAAATGTACTACAAAGGTCCGTCAGACACTTGGTGGGAGACAGCTTGCGTTGTTAACACGTAGAAGAACAATTAGTGCAGCAGGACTTACCACACAACAAAGCAGATGGCCCAGGCAGCCTTGTTTACATCTATTCTGACCCAAAACTTCCTCTCTCAGCAGAACCAAAGCCAGAAATCCATCCGTGTCCCTCATGCTCTCTGGCCTTCTCCAGTCAGAAATTCCTCAGTCAACATGTAAAACACACCCACTCCTCTCAGATCTCTCCAAGAACATCTGGAAGAAAACACCTCCAACCAGAGAATCCCTGCCCAGGGGATCAGAATCAGGAGCAGCAACACTCTGATCCACACAGCTGCAATGACAAAGCCAAAGATCAAGAAGTCAAAGAAAGGCCCAAACCCTTTCATAAAAAGACACAGCAGAGGGGAATTTCAAGGGCATTTTCCAGCCCACCCAAAGGAAAAATGGGGAGCTGCAGGGAGGGTAAAAGAATAATGGAGGAAGAGCCCAGAACAGGCCAGAAAGTGGGTCCAGGGGACACAGACAAATTATGTGCGGCAGGAGGAATCTCAAGAATTTCAAGAGTCAAGTATGGAGACAGTGGGCAAAGCTTCAGTGATAAGTCAAATGTCATCATACACCAGAGGACACACACAGGGGAGAAGCCCTATGTCTGCAGGGAGTGTGGGCGAGGCTTTAGCCAAAAGTCACACCTCCTCAGACACCAGAGGACACACACAGGGGAGAAGCCCTATGTCTGCAGGGAGTGTGGGCGAGGCTTTAGCCAAAAGTCAGACCTCCTCATACACCAGAGGACACACACAGGGGAGAAGCCCTATGTCTGCAGGGAGTGTGGGCGAGGCTTTAGCTGTAAGTCAAGCCTCCTCATACACCAGAGGACACACACAGGGGAGAAGCCCTATGTCTGCAGGGAGTGTGGGCGAGGCTTTAGCCGTAAGTCAAGCCTCCTCATACACCAGAGGACACACACAGGGGAGAAGCCCTGTGTTTGCAGGAAGGGTGAGTAAGTCATTAGCACTAAAACTACATCTCAACAGCCACAGGAGGGCACCTCCTCACCTCACACCTTCCCACCCCAGCTCTGGGGGGGGCTTCTAAGGAAGTCTACTGACCCTTTATATTTCCCAAGAGTGTAAAGAGACCAGAAATAACTGACTAAACAAATCCTCTACTTTCATGACTAGAGATGAGGAATAAAAACAGTGTGTGTGTGGGAGGGGTGATTCCTTAAATTTTCAGGGGGTGTTGACTTGTGGTTCTTTTCCACATTGATTCCCTCCATGGTTGGTTTTTTGGGATGTTTTTGTTTTCTTTTGCCTCCTGTTCTAATAAAATTTTTTTCCATACAAATCTGAAGCCCAAGCATGTACCTCATTCTGCTCTTACCACGGAAGGCAGACAAGTCCAAGAGGGCCACAAAGAACTCCTACTCTCAGCCCTGGTCCCCACAGAATTCAACCCCTGGAAAGTCATAAGCCTGGAGTCCATCTGGCTAAATTGTTGGAGAATCAATTCCTGGGCCCAGGGAGAGAAGTCTAGGATTTGAGGCAGAGTTGGGTCAGGGAAAAGAATTCCCTGGTTTCCTGGGAAGTGTGGCCTCTACTCATGATGGACTCCTCCCTTGGCTTCTGGTTATTTTCCTGGTTTCCTCCAAGCTCTGTAGCCCCTGAAGTGAAAGCCAGACAAGGATGTGCATGCATGTGTATATATAAGTATGCTATGTCTTGTGCATGCATGCATGGCTGTGTCCTAGGTATGTGTATGTGCATGGGGGACGGGGGTTGCCAGGGTTTATCCGCATGTAGTCGTGTGCATGTGTGTGTGTGCAGTTGTGTGCATGTGTGGGTGTGTCCACTTGCCAATCAGGGAAGGACTGCCCAGCCCCCTTCCTCCAGGGGAATCCTAGATCCTCACCCTCCTTCTATAGAGAAACAAAGATGTAAAAGAAAACACCGTTCTCTTTTAAAAATAAGATTATGAAAAGAAATAAACTGATGGTTTATTTCCTATTAAAATCCACAGTCTCTGTCAGACCAAGCCAAGCTCAGGGAGGGCAGAGGGACCCCTTCTCCAGGAGGGGATTAGGAATCAGGCCTCCCTTTCCCATACCAGCAGAAACAGCACTAAAATATGCTGAAGTTTCCCGTAAAAGAAAAAGCAGAGCAGGAGGTAGCACAGTGAAGCAGGCAGATGCCCCAGACATTTGGGCCATTGACTTTGCTGCCCATCGAGGACAAGCTCTGCGTTTGACTTCAGATCTGGTGCTCATTCCTGAGGTCAGAACAGGGCACTCAGAACAAAACGTCCCTATGGCCTGGAGACTCAGAATAGGGGAAGTGGGGTGCTCAAAAGAGAACCAGGTCCCCCCTCTAGCCTCTGCTGACTGTGCTGTTCACACCCCCATCTCCTGGGCCTTTCAGCTTAACCCTCCAAGTGCCACAGCTAGTCTCCTTGGCTCCTTCACTGATCCAAGTTCTCCACTATCCCTCCTCCTCTCCAGAGTAATCTTCCGAATGTTGATGTGGTCATCAAGGTGGATGAGGAGGAAAAGATGCTATGGTTAGTACACAGACAGCTAGTATATTTGTTTCCCAGGACTGCCATAACCAAGTACTACAATTAGGTGACTTAGAACAGAAATGTATTATCTCACAGTTCTGGAGGTGAGAATTCCAAAATCAAGGTATTGGCAGGGGTATGCGCCCTCTGAAACCTGTTAAGTAGGATCCTTCCTTGCCTCTTCCAGCTTCTCATGGTTTGCTGGCAGTCTTTGGTGTTCTTTGGCTTACAGTGTTAAAGAAAATACAGCACAGGGCCAGACGTGGTGGCTCACGCCTGTAATCCTAGCTCTCTGGGAGGCTGAGGTGGGCAGATCCTTTGAGTTCAGGAGTTCGAAACCAACCAGAGCAAGAGTGAGACCCCATCTCTACTATAAATAGAAAGAAATTAATTGGACAACTAATATATATAGAAAAAATTAGCCGGGCATGGTGGCGCATGCCTGTAGTCCCAGCTACCCGGGAGGCTGAGGCAGAAGGATCACTTGAGCCCAGGAGTTTGAGGTTGCTGTGAGCTAGGCTGACGCCACGGCACTCACTCTAGCCTGGGCAACAAAGTGAGTCTCTGTCTCAAAAAAAAAGAAAGAAAAAAAAAGAAAATACACCACAGGCAAGCGGGAATTTGTAGCTGGGGAGGCAGTGGATGGAAAATTACTAAGAGGAAACATAAGGGATGAGGTGGTTCTGGTTAAGCTGACCTAATAGGATTCCTGTAGAAGGCAGGCCAGGGAGATCAGACATCACCTGGGGGTTGGTAGAGGGTGATCATAAGTTGAGGGGGAGAAGGGTTCCTGCTAAACTGACTTAGGGGGGTTCTTTGCAAATACTGGATTTTTTTTTTTTATTTGCCTCTAAGGAGAGTTAATACAGTTGTGCAAATACTGGATTTTATAAGGAAATGCAGAGAGTGGCCTAAGGGAAGGTTCAGGAACCCGACTAAAGTTGGGACAAGCGAAGAATCTTTGTCAAACGAACGGCATTTTTTTTCTTTGAACAATATAAATCCATTAAATCCATTTTCTCACCTTTTATTCATTAAAAACCAGTTGAATCATCTTTTTTTTCCTTTTTTGAGACCAAGTCTTGCTTTGTTGCCCGGGCTAGAGTGCCATGGCATCAGCCTAGCTCACAGCAACCTCATACTCCTGGGCTCAAGTGATCCTCCTATCTCAGCCTCCCGAATAGCTAGGACTACAAGTCACGTGCCACCATGACTGGCTAATTTTTTTTCTGTCTTTAGTTGTTTGGCTAAATTCTTTCTATTTTTAGTAGAAATGGGTCTCACTCTTGCTCAGGCTGGTCTCAAACTCCTTAATTCAAGCTATCCTCCCACTTCAGCCTCACAGAGTGTTTAGGATTACAGGCATGAGCCACTGCGCCCGGCCCCAGCTGAATCAGTCATCTATTAGGACTTGGTAGTAGAGGATATTTGCTGGTTAGTGCTAATAGTCATTTAATGAGGGGGAATCTCTATGGAAATAAAGAAAAACAGGCCAGGCACGGTGGCATTTGAGACCAGCCTGAGCAAGAGCTGAGACCCCGACCCCACCTCTACTAAAAATAGAAAGAAATTAGCTGGACAACTAAAAATATACAGAAAAAATTAGATGGGCATAGTGGCGCATGCTTGTCGTCCCAGCTACTCGGGTGGCTGAAGCAGGAGGATCAATTGAGCCTGGGAGTTTGAGGCTGCTGAGGGCTGTGATGAGGCCACTGCACTCCTGCTTGGGTGTCTCAAAAAAAAAAAAAAAGGAAATCACAGGATGTTCTTTCCCCTCTCTCCGGACAGTAGGGCCATGAAGGCTTTCTCCCTCGCCTTTCTTTTCTGTGCCTTGTCCATACAACAAACCACTGTTTCACCAGCCAGCACCAACTGTTTCCTACTCACCCACACAGGGGGTATATTTTGGGATCTCTCAGGGGAGCAAACAGACAAAACCTTCAGCCACTTGATTCTAGCAACCAGAACAAGATGAACCAGGGCCTTGTGAAAATAGCAAGGTGGGTAAGAGCTCTGAGGCGGTGGGGAGCTTCCCGGCTGACGGGCTCAGCCTCGCAGCTGGGATCCCCGAGTACCATCTGCCCTGGATGAGGAAGGAGGCGAGCTGCACACTCCTTACGCAGTCACCAACCCTGGGTTTTTTGGCTTTTGGTTTTTTGGACAGGGTTTCACCCTGTCACCCAGGCTGGAGTGCAGTGGTGTGATTGTAGCTCGCTGCAGCCTCCAACTCCTGGGCTCAATCGATCCTCCTGCCTCAGCCTCTCAAAGTGCTAGGAATACAAGTGTGTGCCATCATACCCAGCCACCATCCCTGGTTTGACAGTTTCTCAGCTGATGGCTTTCTACTGAGATGGTGCTCCCGGTCCTGATCTTTGTCTCAAAATGACTAAGGAGAAGTCAAAATATGGCCACAGTGTTGTCCCAAGTCCCCAGGGGAAGTGCTGCCTGATTAACATGGTGTCTCCCAGAAAAGTACTAATGTGGGTGTTTTCAGAGATCTAAACTGGGCACAGATCTCCTCAGGGCTGCCCCCAGAAGGTGACAACCTCTGCTGGGCATCCTGGAGTTGGGAGGAAGCAGGCACTGTCTTCTCTTTTTTCCAAACATGGTCTCTTGGCCTCAGAATGCTGGGGGCACTCAGAATAAATGTGCAGAATGCCACCAACAGTATGCCAGAGCGCCTACTCACTGACCTGTGTGGAATCCGAGAGCCTCTGTGAGAGAGCAGAGCTGTAGCTGGGCACAAGGGCACACGTCTGCAGTTCCCACAACTCGGGAGGCTGAGGAAGGAGATTCACTTGAGCCCAGGAGTTCAAGGCTGCAGAGTGCTATGACCACACTTGTGATTAGCCACTGCTCTCCACCCTGGGCAACACAGCAAGACCATGTCTCTAAACAAATAAAGAGAAGGGCCGTGTAGACAGCCTTGTTAGGGGGCAGACTGAGTGTAGTATGGGCATCGCTGCACCCCCTGCCAAGGCAGGAGGGTACACTGGGGGCACAGGACCTGTCTCCTAGCCCAGCCACCAGGGACACTTCTGAAAATTCTGCTCTATGCTCACCATGCCCTCATAGGTGTGTTGGGAGAATTAGGAGAGAAAATAATACTGAGAGCTGATATATACAGTCCTTACTAAGTGCCAGAGGCTGTTTATGTATTGGCACACTCAGTTTTCACAACAACTTTAGCAGTGAAGTGCTGCTATTATGACCATTTGATGGTGGGGACACTGAGGCACGGAGAAGTCAAGTCACTTGCTCTGAGCTTCAGAGCCATCTCTTCACTGCTACTCTAAGCATGAAGTATCCAAAACCCAGCTCAGTGCAGAGCATAGAATACTCCAACAAGGCCTGGACTTGGTACCTTTGGCTGCAGGGGATTTTGAGATTCATGATTAGGCAGATTCATGATTAGGCATTTTGAGATTCATGATTGGCACTTCTGCCAATAGTAGCTCGCTCTGCTGAGCACGTGTGGCTGTCAGGAACCCTCACTCAGGACAAAGCTGGAGACGCACAATAATGGGAAGTGAGAACTGGCTCCTTGTACCAGTTAGCTATTGCTATGAAACACATCACTCCACACACAACTCGGTGGCTTAGAGCAACAGAATCAGGTATCACTTCTGTGGACCAGGAATTTGGGCACTCAGCAAGGTGGTTCTGGCCCACACATCACCTGCAGCTGTGGACAGATGGGGGCTGCGGGCCCATCTGGGCTTCCTCACAGCGGTGCCTCGGGGCACTCTAACACCACACGCAGCGGCCAGGCTCCAGGCA